AGAAATATATATGAATATTTAGAAATTCATCTTATTAATTCAAGATTTATTAAATAAAATTGACATAAGCTCTTATTATATACCAAAAAAAAAATTCAGAAAATCAGAAAATTTAAATCTAAGAGTCTAACTGTTTGAGTATTCATTTTTATGGACTATTTCTATGAAAATTTATAATTATAGTTCTATATCTTAATGGCAATAGGAAGCCAATAATTACCAATTAGTTTGCTTAAAAAAAATATAAATTTATAAAAAGGAGTTCAGGAAATTATATAATAATAAGTATACATAATCCTATAACGTAATGCAATTAATCAGTATAAAAGAACTGAGAAGACAAAAAATACCTAGATCAACGTTACAGATGCGTGATGTAATCAAAAAAAAAAAAAAAAAAAATGTATCTACATTCCAATGGAATAACAAGTTTAGGCAATAAAGATTTCTGCCATTGGCTCAAGGATAACTTGTTCCAAGGACATTTCTTCTCTAGTAGACGGATCCTTTTGATTACATGACATCCGAATTTTTAAAGCATATGCAAATATTTTAATATGAACTTCAATTTTTTTTTTAACACTCACGATTGTTTGTTTTTACTTTCTCCTTTAAGGATTTTTACATACTTGCGCGCGTGCGTAGTATCCTTTAATTCCACATATATATGATGATTCGCCGAGGCCTCGATGAACAGGATGTATGTGTGTAGGATTGAGGACATATATTGTTGTAGTGTATGTGTCTCTGTTTAAAAAAGGGGTAATTAATATTAAAATGGTTGCATATGTTAAGGGTGTTGTTCTACATATTTTTGTGATACTTAGGACATTTTAATTGGTTTTGGTTGGTTGTGTACTGATTTGATTATTGATGGATTTTTGCTGGTTTTTGCTTGCTTAAGGTATAGTTTGGTTTTTTGGTATGTTTTATATTTAATCACGCATAATTAATTTTTTTGATGTCGGTGGGATTCGAACCCTCGATGCTGATCATTTTCAGCACTCTGTACATGTTGCGTCGCCCGCTTCCACTCTGGGCTACTAGGCTTGGTTGCAGGCTACTGGCTAATGCTCGCTTTTACTAGGCTAGACAACAACCACTGTGGATTCTAAAATGGCACAGTCCACGAATAAATCTATTTTTAGAATACCAGCTACAACTCTTTCCAATTACTGTCAGGTGGTGGAATCCCTTTTTGTGCACGTGTTGGCGCACACAGTGGGGTATTTTTTCACTTGTGATTTTTTCTGGTTCGTTATTTTTGGCGGCAAAAGCAAGGTTATGATGTATGTGGTCTTCGGCCGAATATTATTAGCCGAAGTAACAAAAAAAATGCCAATGCAAATATACGGCCACTAATGCAAATATAAAGAAAAGAAACTATTCTAACACCAATTTTTTTATATTTAATTTCATTGCTGCTTACCTAGTTGTTTTATAATGGATTTTTTTATTCGTGCTTGTGATTTAGCAAGGAGTAAAAAGCTTGACACTCGAATCAAAACTTCCTTAAGGGTAAATTTTTTTTTGTGTTATAAAAAGATTACTTCCATCTTAAAATTTCATAAAATTCACCTGGTTTGGGGTTATTATAATTTAATCAATTATAAATTTATGTACGTTGAAAACTAGTGATTATTAAATGTTTCACTGGTCGGTTATGCAACGATTGTGCTTTATCAAAGTTTGTTTTTTTTTCTTATTCACGGTGTTGTCTCTAACAATGTAGGCGAACAAAAGAACGATTTGATTTTGTTGAGAAGCTGTGTGAGTCGTGTTCAGGCGTTTCATTATTTTCCACCACTTATAAAGGTTATTAGTGAGAGCTTAACGAAAAAAAGTAACTGACAAAATAATCGTTTAACCTAACCGTTAATTACCAATACTATGACGGATACGATGTTGACTCCGCCTACTCTCCGAAAAAATAAAAAAAATATGAAAAATAAAAAAAATGAATTGTCCTGGCTGGGAGTCGAACTCCGGACCTTGGGACTTGAAGTCCAGCACGACTCCTCTGAGCTAACCAAAGGCGTGTGGGTGGCTTGGCTAATTGCTTACTTCCGCTTATGCTGTTGTAAAGGTGGAAATATGTAGGCACCCTGTTTTTTACTTTTAGAGGTGAATAAATATAAATAGTGGGAATATGAAAAAAAAATTGACGACATCCCAGCAAACATTTTTAACAGTAATGGTAATTAGATTAAGAATGTGAGCAGACCATAATTTCCCACAAAAACATTCTATTTATGTAATGTTCAACTAACTATTGGTTTACCAAATTGCTTGTACAAGGACAGTAGTCCTTGACTATATTCTTGACTTTTAGGATGAACATGAAGGATATACGATGGAACTAGGGTTATATGACATTCGAGAGCAATCAGACGAATGGGAGCCATTGATTTGCTAGCTTTCAGCCGTGTGGGGGGGTTCGTGTCTGTTATTGCAGTCAAATAAATATCCTACCAACATAAACAAAAAATATTTAGTATTGTAGACTCCCGATAAACAAAGTAATAATGGTGATTAGACTAGTTTCTGGCCAACTATTGTACCCCTGTTGGTCCAGATATTATATAATTGACGTCGGAAAATCAATCCTAGATATTAATATCCAATTCTTTTAGCAAACTCCTGATGTTCGTTGGAGTTTGAGCCTCTAAACCCATTCCCAACCATGGTCTCAAGGCTTAATTTTATTGAGACCCCAAAAGCAAATACGTTTCCTCTCTAAACTACTTCACCACAGTAAGAAATATATATGAATATTTAGAAATTCATCTTATTAATTCAAGATTTATTAAATAAAATTGACATAAGCTCTTATTATATACCAAAAAAAAAATTCAGAAAATCAGAAAATTTAAATCTAAGAGTCTAACTGTTTGAGTATTCATTTTTATGGACTATTTCTATGAAAATTTATAATTATAGTTCTATATCTTAATGGCAATAGGAAGCCAATAATTACCAATTAGTTTGCTTAAAAAAATATAAATTTATAAAAAGGAGTTCAGGAAATTATATAATAATAAGTATACATAATCCTATAACGTAATGCAATTAATCAGTATAAAAGAACTGAGAAGACAAAAAATACCTAGATCAACGTTACAGATGCGTGATGTAATCAAAAAAAAAAAAAAATGTATCTACATTCCAATGGAATAACAAGTTTAGGCAATAAAGATTTCTGCCATTGGCTCAAGGATAACTTGTTCCAAGGACATTTCTTCTCTAGTAGACGGATCCTTTTGATTACATGACATCCGAATTTTTAAAGCATATGCAAATATTTTAATATGAACTTCAATTTTTTTTTAACACTCACGATTGTTTGTTTTTACTTTCTCCTTTAAGGATTTTTACATACTTGCGCGCGTGCGTAGTATCCTTTAATTCCACATATATATGATGATTCGCCGAGGCCTCGATGAACAGGATGTATGTGTGTAGGATTGAGGATATATATTGTTGTAGTGTATGTGTCTCTGTTTAAAAAAGGGGTAATTAATATTAAAATGGTTGCATATGTTAAGGGTGTTGTTCTACATATTTTTGTGATACTTAGGACATTTTAATTGGTTTTGGTTGGTTGTGTACTGATTTGATTATTGATGGATTTTTGCTGGTTTTTGCTTGCTTAAGGTATAGTTTGGTTTTTTGGTATGTTTTATATTTAATCACGCATAATTAATTTTTTTGATGTCGGTGGGATTCGAACCCTCGATGCTGATCATTTTCAGCACTCTGTACATGTTGCGTCGCCCGCTTCCACTCTGGGCTACTAGGCTTGGTTGCAGGCTACTGGCTAATGCTCGCTTTTACTAGGCTAGACAACAACCACTGTGGATTCTAAAATGGCACAGTCCACGAATAAATCTATTTTTAGAATACCAGCTACAACTCTTTCCAATTACTGTCAGGTGGTGGAATCCCTTTTTGTGCACGTGTTGGCGCACACAGTGGGGTATTTTTTCACTTGTGATTTTTTCTGGTTCGTTATTTTTGGCGGCAAAAGCAAGGTTATGATGTATGTGGTCTTCGGCCGAATATTATTAACCGAAGTAACAAAAAAAATGCCAATGCAAATATACGGCCACTAATGCAAATATAAAGAAAAGAAACTATTCTAACACCAATTTTTTTATATTTAATTTCATTGCTGCTTACCTAGTTGTTTTATAATGGATTTTTTTATTCGTGCTTGTGATTTAGCAAGGAGTAAAAAGCTTGACAATCGAATCAAAACTTCCTTAAGGGTAAATTTTTTTTTTTTTTGTGTTATAAAAAGATTACTTCAATCTTAAAATTTCATAAAATTCACCTGGTTTGGGGTTATTATAATTTAATCAATTATAAATTTATGTACGTTGAAAACTAGTGATTATTAAATGTTTCACTGGTCGGTTATGCAACGATTGTGCTTTATCAAAGTTTGTTTTTTTTTTCTTATTCACGGTGTTGTCTCTAACAATGTAGGCGAACAAAAGAACGATTTGATTTTGTTGAGAAGCTGTGTGAGTCGTGTTCAGGCGTTTCATTATTTTCCACCACTTATAAAGGTTATTAGTGAGAGCTTAACGAAAAAAAGTAACTGACAAAATAATCGTTTAACCTAACCGTTAATTACCAATACTATGACGGATACAATGTTGACTCCGCCTACTCTCCGAAAAAATAAAAAAATATGAAAAATAAAAAAATGAATTGTCCTGGCTGGGAGTCGAACTCCGGACCTTGGGACTTGAAGTCCAGCACGACTCCTCTGAGCTAACCAAAGGCGTGTGGGTGGCTTGGCTAATTGCTTACTTCCGCTTATGCTGTTGTAAAGGTGGAAATATGTAGGCACCCTGTTTTTTACTTTTAGAGGTGAATAAATATAAATAGTGGGAATATGAAAAAAAAATTGACGACATCCCAGCAAACATTTTTAACAGTAATGGTAATTAGATTAAGAATGTGAGCAGACCATAATTTCCCACAAAAGTTTGTTGTTTTCCTATGCCGTGAAATGTGTGCAGTAATAATAGTTTTTTAATAATTATTTGTGTTGTTGTCGAGTCAAACTATGTCTAAACGCAATATTGCCTATATTAAGCCACAAGATCCATCCTTTTTAGCAAAACTGAAGCAAGAGATTGGTTACAAAGAGGGACCAAACGTAGATACAAAGAGGCAAAAACTTGAGAATTTGGAGGATAATTTTTCGGACAGTGAAGAACCAGAACGTGAAGACGAAAAACCTTTGGTGGTGGTGTTAAAATCTGGTGATCTTACCGCTCAAGAAGCCGAAGAGGAACAGAAGCGCTTGGCCAAAGAAGCCGCTGAAGCCCGTGCCGATTTGAATAAACCAATAGTCTTTCGCAAACGACATAATCCCAAGGAGGCTTCAGAAAAAGCTCTAGCACCATCCTCATCCAAACCAAACAAGCCATCAAGTAAAGAGGAGAAACGCAAAAAATCGGATAACAAAAACAGTGTAAAATTATCCTTTAACGCTGACGACGAGGAGGAAGAGGAGGAATAGTAGTAGAACGAAAAGGAAGATAAAATAATAAAAGAACGAGTTCAACAAACAGTTGTCACAAAAAAATCGATCAATAATTTGGGAATTGCTCCCATAACACCATAACCATTGCAGCTTGGAGTGGCGATTTTTTATACATACATACATACACACATATAAATGTTGAACAGTTTTCCTAACTACATTCGCATTTGAAGATATCCACACATTATTAAAATCCACAAATAATTTGGCATCAACAACTCTAGAATATGACTGAAGTTGATGTTTCTATGCCGGAAGGTTCAGGTTTATCATCAGCGGCTAACCTACAACATCCTGAGACACATTCAAGTGGCAGCCACGAAAATGGGAGTCCTACGAACACAGCAAACGATAGCGCCAACACTAACACAACTCAGACCACTGGAGTCAAACTAAATCAGAATAGTGGCAAAGATGAAAGCATGGAAGTAGATGGTGTTGACACGGAGGAAGACGATTCACAGATAACCTCTTCAACAGAAAATGGAGAGGGGGGTAATGCAGGAAACGACCGGGCCGATCGTGACGAAAATAGTAATAACAGTAAACCAGAAATACCTTCGAAGACCTCGGCCAACGTGAATGAGGATTCGTCAAATGCCTGTGAAAGTATATCACAGAATTGTGATAGTGTAAATAGTTCGGATGCAGGAAAAACACATTCTTCAAATCATGTTCGAGATTCAGACAACGACACAAACACCAATGACAGTCATCCCGTATCAAAGACACAACACAGCGAAGATGGCGAGGGCGCTATTAGTGCAGATGGGTCGGCTAATCATGTCGACGACACTTCCAATGATAATTCCAACCACACAAATCCCGATCCCTTGGCTGTACCGAATTCAAAACAAAGCCAGAATGGGTCAGCGTCGGCGGAGGAGAAACAATCTGATGGTGTTGTAGAGTTGGGCGCCATTCTATTTATGTAATGTTCAACTAACTATTGGTTTACCAAATTGCTTGTACAAGGACAGTAGTCCTTGACTATATTCTTGACTTTTAGGATGAACGTGAAGGATATACGATGGAACTAGGGTTATATGACATTCGAGAGCAATCAGACGAATGGGAGCCATTGATTTGCTAGCTTTCAGCCGTGTGGGGGGGTTCGTGTCTGTTATTGCAGTCAAATAAATATCCTACCAACATAAACAAAAAATATTTAGTATTGTAGACTCCCGATAAACAAAGTAATAATGGTGATTAGACTAGTTTCTGGCCAACTATTGTACCCCTGTTGGTCCAGATATTATATAATTGACGTCGGAAAATCAATCCTAGATATTAATATCCAATTCTTTTAGCAAACTCCTGATGTTCGTTGGAGTTTGAGCCTCTAAACCCATTCCCAACCATGGTCTCAAGGCTTAATTTTATTGAGACCCCAAAAGCAAATACGTTTCCGCTCTAAACTACTTCACCACAGTAAGAAATATATATGAATATTTAGAAATTCATCTTATTAATTCAAGATTTATTAAATAAAATTGACATAAGCTCTTATTATATACCAAAAAAAAAAAAAAAAAATTTCAGAAAATCAGAAAATTTAAATCTAAGAGTCTAACTGGTTGAGTATTCATTTTTATGGACTATTTCTATGAAAATTTATAATTATGTTCAATATCTTAATGGCAATAGGAAGCCAATAATTACCAATTAGTTTGCTTAAAAAAAATATAAATTTATAAAAAGGAGTTCAGGAAATTATATAATAATAAGTATACATAATCCTATAACGTAATGCAATTAATCAGTATAAAAGAACTGAGAAGACAAAAAATACCTAGATCAACGTTACAGATGCGTGATGTAATCAAAAAAAAAAAAAAAAATGTATCTACATTCCAATGGAATAACAAGTTTAGGCAATAAAGATTTCTGCCATTGGCTCAAGGATAACTTGTTCCAAGGACATTTCTTCTCTAGTAGACGGATCCTTTTGATTACATGACATCCGAATTTTTAAAGCATATGCAAATATTTTAATATGAACTTCAATTTTTTTTTTAACACTCACGATTGTTTGTTTTTACTTTCTCCTTTAAGGATTTTTACATACTTGCGCGCGTGCGTAGTATCCTTTAATTCCACATATATATGATGATTCGCCGAGGCCTCGATGAACAGGATGTATGTGTGTAGGATTGAGGACATATATTGTTGTAGTGTATGTGTCTCTGTTTAAAAAAGGGGTAATTAATATTAAAATGGTTGCATATGTTAAGGGTGTTGTTCTACATATTTTTGTGATACTTAGGACATTTTAATTGGTTTTGGTTGGTTGTGTACTGATTTGATTATTGATGGATTTTTGCTGGTTTTTGCTTGCTTAAGGTATAGTTTGGTTTTTTGGTATGTTTTATATTTAATCACGCATAATTAATTTTTTTGATGTCGGTGGGATTCGAACCCTCGATGCTGATCATTTTCAGCACTCTGTACATGTTGCGTCGCCCGCTTCCACTCTGGGCTACTAGGCTTGGTTGCAGGCTACTGGCTAATGCTCGCTTTTACTAGGCTAGACAACAACCACTGTGGATTCTAAAATGGCACAGTCCACGAATAAATCTATTTTTAGAATACCAGCTACAACTCTTTCCAATTACTGTCAGGTGGTGGAATCCCTTTTTGTGCACGTGTTGGCGCACACAGTGGGGTATTTTTTCACTTGTGATTTTTTCTGGTTCGTTATTTTTGGCGGCAAAAGCAAGGTTATGATGTATGTGGTCTTCGGCCGAATATTATTAGCCGAAGTAACAAAAAAAAAATGCCAATGCAAATATACGGCCACTAATGCAAATATAAAGAAAAGAAACTATTCTAACACCAAATTTTTTTTATATTTAATTTCATTGCTGCTTACCTAGTTGTTTTATAATGGATTTTTTTTATTCGTGCTTGTGATTTAGCAAGGAGTAAAAAGCTTGACAATCGAATCAAAACTTCCTTAAGGGTAAAATTTTTTTTTTTTTTGTGTTATAAAAAGATTACTTCAATCTTAAAATTTCATAAAATTCACCTGGTTTGGGGTTATTATAATTTAATCAATTATAAATTTATGTACGTTGAAAACTAGTGATTATTAAATGTTTCACTGGTCGGTTATGCAACGATTGTGCTTTATCAAAGTTTGTTTTTTTTTTCTTATTCACGGTGTTGTCTCTAACAATGTAGGCGAACAAAAGAACGATTTGATTTTGTTGAGAAGCTGTGTGAGTCGTGTTCAGGCGTTTCATTATTTTCCACCACTTATAAAGGTTATTAGTGAGAGCTTAACGAAAAAAAGTAACTGACAAAATAATCGTTTAACCTAACCGTTAATTACCAATACTATGACGGATACGATGTTGACTCCGCCTACTCTCCGAAAAAATAAAAAAATATGAAAAATAAAAAAATGAATTGTCCTGGCTGGGAGTCGAACTCCGGACCTTGGGACTTGAAGTCCAGCACGACTCCTCTGAGCTAACCAAAGGCGTGTGGGTGGCTTGGCTAATTGCTTACTTCCGCTTATGCTGTTGTAAAGGTGGAAATATGTAGGCACCCTGTTTTTTTTACTTTTAGAGGTGAATAAATATAAATAGTGGGAATATGAAAAAAAATTGACGACATCCCAGCAAACATTTTTAACGGTAATGGTAATTAGATTAAGAATGTGAGCAGACCATAATTTCCCACATGTGATAGTATAACCAAGGAGTTGGTGGAGACAGGTAGACCAATACCTAAGGAAATTAACGTTTTTAATCATGGTGATTTGTGGGTCAATAAGTTTATGTACAAGTATAAGGCGGATAGCTCCAATGTGCCAGATGATGCGGTGTTTGTAAGATATATTTCCAATAATGTTTTACTTGGTATTTAACATTTGTCATGATTTTAGGTCGACTTCCAAAACAGCTTCTTTGACAGTTCTGGCTGTGACATAAACTTCTTCCTGCATATCAATGTCCAGCTGCATGCCCTCAAATATCGCCGAGAGTTTCTCATAGAAACCTATTACGAGACACTCCAAAAGGCTTTGAGTGAAATGAACTACGGAGGAATCCCCTCGTTGCAGGAGATGCAAGATGAAATTTCCTCACGTGATCTATATGGCTTCTTTTCGTTGTACTCCTTCCTGCCAATAGTCGCCTTGAGCAAAGAGGACTCGGCTGATATCAGTCTGGAGGCATTGGCCAACAAGGAGTTTGCCCGCCAGAAGGTGATATTGATGTTCAATTTAACTTGTTAATAAAAACATTGATGAAAATCCCTTCAGAGCTACCCACTTAAATTAGAAAGAATTAAAAATTTTGGTTAGTTATTAAATACAAATTAAAAAATATTTTTTTAAATCTAACCCCTAATCATTGTGTACCTCAAATGTATTAAACCATACTCCTTTGGCAAATTTTTTGTAAACAAAACAAATAACAATTTATTCCTTATTAAATATGTCACTTTTATTTTTAATTTCTTTCTACAGGGCTACAAAGATTCGTGCCGCTCAACAATAAACATACTGGTAAATAAAAATATGTAAATTTTCTGTAATATTTATTTAAACATTTTTTCTGACTTACAATTTAGGTGCAACTAAGCAACCATCCAAGAATATGAGTGGATATTTCTGCAACGATGACCTCAACATATGCTGATCTGGAATATATGTACCTTGTGGGGTCGAAAATGTATATTTCGATGTGTTACAAACGGAATGAGAAACTTAATATACGCTCCATACTATGATGGAGGGTATTAAAAGAAAGAAATTGGTTTTTCATTTAGAATAAATTTTAGTGTCGCCTTAGATAAATTGAGCCTTAATAATAAATCGCGTTTGATAAATTAGTCATTAAGATAAATCGCGTTTGATAAATTAGTCATTAAGATTTGTAAATTAATAATTTTATTGTCAATTAAATAATATTATTGTCTATTATTTTCTTATGTACTTGTGTCAATAAATTACTGGAACTCATTAAATATTTTGTATTACACATTGTTAAATTGCAAACAAGTATTATAACTTTTCTGTGAACTTACACACAATGCATATTTGCATCACGCATGTTTATATCTCTCATTTTTTCAATGATAAAGGGGGAATGTAAGTTGGTTTTTATAAATTTATAAAATTGAAAGGATATTTTATTCTTTCTAAATACCTAAGTTACCAAAATTTGTCGAAATAAGTGACGCACATTTTGTAGAACTAAATGTAACCCATTGTACTGTATCAAATTTAAAACTCTATCGTAAATATTGGGAAGTATAGAGCAAAATATTTAAGGCCCTTTTTGTATGGTTAAGGCTATATATAATGGAAAAAATTAGCTTGGTAACCCAAAACCCTTTTTGGGATTATCCACTTAGAACTTTCCAACCCCCAGATTGGCTGTTGCGCAATGTCGTTACTCGCTATTGCATAAAACGGTACCTGTGACTTAAGTATGTATCTGAAACATTTCAGATGATTTTTCGGAGGATATGAATCCTTTTTCTACTAAATTTTAAATTCACTCTACCATTTCGTATAGACCGCATATTGTTGTGCCTCTTTATCTTCGGTATTTCACTGATTGCAGTCCCAATGAATTTTGCATTTTAAGTTCCCATTGCACGGATTATAGGTTGGCATTTTGATATGAACCCGATACAACTGTGTTGGTCATTTTTATTTGTTTGAATGTGTTCGCATCTTCCAGTTGAAGAACGATGTAGGACCAGTGGTTGGAAAGCTAGATGCCAATTCTATTCATTAATATAATAATATTAAATAGAATTTAAAATAATAAAAAATAAATGATATTAAGTCAATTATAGATCATGAAATTATTTCCGGTTTCATCTTAACTCAATTGAACTGTTCAAAAAGTGAAGTTGTACAAAGATGTACACAAAGTTGTATCGTTTGTGGCCGAAACATACAACTTGTTTGTATTGTTGTAACATAACATTCTTCTATATCATGGTACAATAATGCAGCTAACAGCAGGTGTTGTTGTACAACAAACGTAACAACAACCACACACAAATTTGTTTTTGTACGTAATACAAGAGTCAGAGTTATATGTCCAAAAATGTAAACAAAAAATATTAATTTTTAATAAATGATATTAATTTCGAAAACGTTATTCTTTAGAATTTCGATTATTAAATTTAAAATGCAGGAAAGTAGTTCTTTAAATATTTAATTTAATGCTTTCATAATATTCCCCTGAATGTACAATTGTTAGCTGTATGCCCTAATCTCTCAACACTTCTAGCAATCGCTAGAAAATCGTGGACAAAGCAACATCCCTTTCAAATTGAAAGCAAACTGCATACACACATGAAGTATTCTACATTTTGCAATTTTAGGAAACATGAAATATACGAATATATTGCTTAATGGGATGTCACTCTTTTATAGCCGTGAAAAACGTTTTCGCACCATCGCCCTTGGCGTTTTGTTAAGTATAATAGCAAATTTTTCTTTATTATTAGGAAATGTGTTTTCATTGCCCTGCAGTGAAATATTATATCAAAAAAGGGAATACCTAGTGTATATCAAGAAATGGAACTAAATCACAAAACGTCATATCAGATTTGCCACTAGTGTTACTATCGAGTCAAATCAGCTACTTCCAATAATTCCACCACATTAATCGGTACTACACTTCAATGTAACCCGCCTGCAATTTCAGTTCTCAAAAAATCGAGTCAATTTAATAAAGTTAATCAAGTTGAAAAAAAGCGTTTGTAAACGATAAATAAATAAAATATTGATTACTTTTTATACCCTACACCGCATAGTGGTAAGGGTATTATGTCTTTCTGCATTTGTTTGTAACATGGAGAAGGAAACGAGATAGACCCATAGTTCCTTTTGATGATCGGCATAGAATCACATTTAAAGTCGATTTATGCATGTCCGCATTTATTGCCCTATCCAAATGAAATTTTGCACAAATCATTTGTTTGGCCCAAGGACGAATCCTATTAAAATTGGTGAGCATCGGTTCAGATTTAGATATAGCTCCCATATATATCTTCTTCCGATTTCGTGTTAATTGTGTACCAAATGGCCAATATAAGAACAAATGGTCTGATTTTTTTCACATCAAACAAAATTTAGGCTAGAAGCAAGTACATGAAATTTGATAAAAATCGGTTCAGATACAGCTATAGCTCCCATTCGTCCGATTTAGTCTTTAAGTCCCTCGAATTCCTAATACGCATCCCACAACCGTGATTTTTGGTACCATATATGAAATACAGCTCAGAAATGCCTTTGCAAAATTTTATTGAAATCGGTTTAGATTTGAATATAGCTTCCATATATATCTTCGGTCGATTTCGAGTTAATTTAGCACCAAATGTCCAAAAGCAGTACAAATTACCTATATTTTGATAGTACATCCAGAAGCAAGTACATTAAATCTAGTCAAAATCTGTTCAGATATAGCTATAGCCCTCATATCATCATCCGATTTGGTGTTTTATCACCTCAAATTCCTAAAATGCACGATACAAGAATAATATTTGGTACCAAATATCAGATGTAGTCAAGAATTAGCTGTTTTCAATTTTATAAAGATCGCTTCAGATTTGGATATAGCTCACATATATAGCATTATCCGATTTCAGATATATTGTGAACCAATTGGCTAATATTAGCCCAAAATGGTCTAAAACCAACCGAATTTAACCTAGAAGCTAATATTTTAAATTTGCTCCCATATACACTGGTGGCCAAAACTAAAGCAACTTAAATCGCACAGACAATAAATGTACTGTAACTTTTACAAAAATAAACAAATCGTAATTATTTTTCCAGTTTTAAATGAGTGGTTTAATTCACTTTTAAGAAACTAAAAATAAAAATACAAAAAAAATTTTGAACGAAAAATAATATGTGGAAAACTAAAATGATCCAATTTTTGCTTGGTCAAAACTAAAGAAACTTTTGATTTTTTATTTTAAAATAATTAAATTTTGGCTAGTAGTCGATAGCATAACCATTATTTTTAATAGCAGCTGCACACCTACGAGGCATTGAATCTATAACACGCTCAATTTCATCCTTGGGTGGGCTTTCCCAGGCACCCCGAATTCTTTAGAAAATGTTGTGCTTATTTATTTCCGAATCTCTCTTGATCTTCCTATCTACGATACTCCAAAGGTTTTCTAAGGAGTTTAGGTCAGGTGATTGTGCCGGCCATAACAAAACATGAATTTTTGACTCCCGCAACCAATATTTGACAAGTTTTGATACAAGTTTGGGATCATTGTCATGCTGAAACACCCAAACCAGCCGAATATTTTACTCAGCGTAAGGGAACAACGTGATGTCCAACACATCTTTGTAAACAAACCGATCCACAACCTCCTTTATTTTATGGATAGGCACAAGTCCATAGAAAGAAAAACAGCGCCACGCCATTTTTCACCCTCCCTCTTGCTTCACTTTACCTTTGCAACACTGCGGCTTGAGTCCTTCATTTTTTGGTCTTCTCACCGTAAAATTTTTCACGTCTGAGCCTTTAATATTTAACGTAGGATCATCCCAGAAATAATGTTTTTTCCATTGAGCTTGATTCCACTTAATATTATCGTTTCCGAAAGCCTTTTTGATTTTTTCAGATATAAATGGTTTTTTGATGTCTTACGGGCATGCAGACCAGCTGCCACTACTCGTCTACGCACTGATCTCGAGCTTATATCCAATGATTGCTCTCTCACCAATCCAGTTGAACTCTAAAATAGTTGTTTTTTATTTCTCTCACAATTTGTGGATCAGTACGGACTGAAGTTTTTCACGGCCTTCATCCGTTATGGACTGTTACTACTGATCCAGTTTCAAAAAACCGACTTAGTACATACATACAGAAATAGTACATACAGAAATAATTATGAAATCACATAAATATTTATGAATTATTTCTCGGAAATCATTTTCTGTGATATGTTGTTTTGATAGTCACTGATAATTTGCTGTTTTATTCAGGTACTGTATTTGCTTCTAGCCATTTGTAAAATCTTTTTGGGCAGTACTTAAAAAACGAAAAGAAAAACACATACTGTTGTAAAAAACTTCTCAAAAATGATTTATGACAAGCGAAATTGTCGAAGGAAGCAAAAAGCGATAAATATCACAGTAAAAACAACTGAAATTGCAGCGGTTATATGAATGTACAACAGAGTTTCTTTTGTTTTGTCCAAGCCAAAATCGGGTTAATTGACTTTACCAAACATTATTTTTTATATAAAAATGAATTTTGGTTTTATGTTTTTAAAATGTGAATAAAGTACCTAATTTAAAACAA